ATTTTGACAAGTACAAGTACTTGTCAAAATGCCCTGTATCGGGCCCGATTCCGATGCTAGCATCGGTATCGGGACATCCCTACTGACCACCTTAAAAATTCTGTCTTCTCTGGCTTCAAATCTTTCTGAATGCTGACCTGGAACAAGTATTCAACAATTGAAGTCAGAACTCGTGTTACTTCTGTTTCATTATGGGTCATGACTTAGTAAATACTGTAGCTTTTGGATCAGCTAAACAGCCAGACATCTTGCATGTGCAGAAGGTCAGCAATGACAGACTGAGTACACTGCTTGAATTTTGGTCAAGTCAGCTGACTCAAGCTGGGTGGAAAATTTGTCAGCAGAACAGTGAATGTAGCCAGTCAGCTGCAGTCACTGTTTTGGTATTCTGACAGCACCGGGCACAGGCTAACAGAATACAATAGCCTGACAGGGAAAAATTAATTCATCTACACTGCTTAATCTGGATGGAGGAACCTGTTAGATTTATTTTTATAAATATTTTATTCATATTAAGCCCACAGGATGAACAAAAGAAGTCTAGGATTGTATGGCCAACTTTAAACCTGTTTGTGACATGCACTCCTAGCTAGTATCTACACATTTCCAAATAAGACAAGGTTAACTATTATTAGATGTAAGATTTAAGAAAGTAACTTAATGAATCCTTTCCATGTTTTTAGATATACTGTATATTAATAAGAATATTTGGTGATCCGTTAACCTCTCTAATTGTACATGTGTAGGTTGTGTCTATACCATGTTGAACTGCTTTTATTTATTTTGTGTCCTGTTTCTTGTATGTAAGGAGTCTCGGAGTTCATTTTTCAAAAGTGAGATCTTTAACCCTGGACACCTGGGAGCCTGAGCTGCTAAAGGTAATAAACAGCGTGAATGATGATACCAGAGTCAAAGAAGAGAAGCTATCAGCCCTTAATTCACAATCAAAGGCGACATAGTGACCCATACCCATACCCATAGACCCCGTGAGGCCCTGGAATGTTGGCAATTCCTGACATGTGACATGACACAAATAAAACCACCTTTATCGTGGATCTGGAGTGCTGGTGACGTATCTTCTACTGGGTGTGGATCAGTTACGTCTGGTGTTTATTTGTGCCAGTAGCTCTAACATAGAGCACTAAACTCTGGTGTCAATCCTTAAAAATGCATTCAAGTACCTTTTAACTATTAACAAAAAATGTATCTTATCTGTGTATCACTGAGCTGCAGAGCCTCAAATTATCTCTGAATTGGTGCTGACACTGACCCTTCTGGAGGGTGACTACTTTTGTTCCCCATGGTCCCTGTGTGTGTTGTAAAGTAGTCACCGATCCAAGCTCGCTCGGTGACGGACTATGATCTCAATAAAAATGATTAAACTAAATGTGAGATTGTAGTCCATCACGGGTGTGAGCTTGGAGCGGTGACTACTTTACAATACCCACAGGGACCATGGGGAACAAAAGTAGCCCCCCTCCTGAAGGAAGGACAGTGTCAGCACCAATTCAGATATGATTTGAGGATCTGCAGCTGAGTGATATACAAATAAGATACATTTTTTTGTAATTGTTATTTGTGTATCACTCAGCTGTAGATCCTCAGATTATCTCTGATTTGGTGCTGACACTGTCCTTCCTTCTGGAGGGGGGCTACTTTTGTTGCCCATGGTCCCCGTGTGTGTTGTAAAGTAACTACCGCTCATACACAAATAGGGTCCAGTTTCTAGATTAGGTACTTGAATGCATTTTTATGATTTAACCTGATTTTAGTGTCACGTTACGATTATTTTGGCAAGTAAAAAAACAAATCTTAAAGATAGATATAATCTCAAAATTTTAGAAAAAATATTTATTTTTTGCCTAATTTTTCTGCCCGTGCGCACCCGCAGATGCAGCAGTGCCGTCCGTCCGTTTTTCTACTACGAGCGGACGGCAAGAGGTTAATCTGATTTCAGTTCAGCACTAGCAACTGAGGACTGGATAAAGTTTTAATCAGCAGTAAGAAATTGGGTATAAGAATAGGACAGTTCTTATTTTAGACTTCATAATAAATATGTCTCTGCAGGATTTCAGGCTCTAGCTTTTTCGATACAGTTTCTACAGTAAAAAGCAGATTAGTTATGTTAAGGCCTCATTCACACTGCCGCGCGTATTGTACCATATGCAGCATATGCAAATAAATGGCTCCATACACATAGCTGCGTATGGAGCCGTGTATTTGCGTAGCATAAAAATGCGCAAAAATAGAATGAAACCGAGATGCGTCCGGGCAGCGTATTTCTGCGTAGTTTGCGCGCGTACAGTTAATTAAAATTTCTATTACAAATAATTCATTCTGGGATTGCATATAGTGCACGCATACACGCACATACACACGTACATGTACGCGTATATGCGCAATATACAATTTTGCTCTTGCGTTGTGTGTTAATGAGGCCTTAAAGCCTGGCTCCAGCCAGAACCAGCTTTATTGATGAGTTGAACAATACAATAAACATAAAAATATGGTACTTAAAGAAGGACCCTGGACAGAATAATTCTTAACCCTTGCAGTGGGGCTACCCCCACACTGCAAGGGTTAAGTGTCTGTATTTGTCTAGGGATTAAAATAAAAACAGTTATGCTGCCTTGAACCTCGCAGCTGACCGGCTCCCAGCAGCCTGTCTCTTCCTCCACCCCAGCGGCGGAATGTCCGTCAGTGTCCTCATGTCCTATACACTGTATGGAACCTGATGACTCGCAGGACTTTAGACCGTTGGAGCAGAGGGGTGGGGGGCTCGATTCCTGGGACTGGTATAACAGCCAGCTGGCTATGAGGTGCAGGTGAGTATAGTTTATTTTTTGTCCCTAGTTGAAACTGCCATGGGTGCGCCCCCACAGCCACATCATCCCATTCATAAGTACGGTGATGTCACCACACTGGTAGTTCATTGACACTTCTTCCTGTCCCTGTACCTCGGTCTGGACCTGGGGCTGGCGGGAAGCATCTGCAGGAGCCTGATATTTGCTCCTGAAATTCACTTTCAATTTTTTTTGTGTGCAAAAGGTGGCCTTTAATGTGGAGAGGATGTGTAGATCTTACTCTGTTTTCATACATGTGTTTTCAGTTATAGAATTTTTTGTAGGCAGGTCTTGTAAAATTGTCCTTAACAAGAATGTTATGTTTTTAATTGTTGAGTGGTACAGTGTAGAATAACAGAATGTTAACAGAGATTCAATTCCAAATAGACATCTCGTTTGAGTTTACAGAGAGATAAAAGTACATGGAGCGTTAAAGTCACAAAATAAATGGCATTCAGAGGCTTGAGGGAGATCATGTATGGCAGCTGTATATCCATAAAGCCTTTGCTTGTGGATGTTCAGCATATAGAAAATGTGGACGAAAACAAGGAAACAAAACATTGTGGCGAAATGTGTATATAATGATATGCACAGAACTAGAGTACTATTGGTCATGAAAAATGTTAGCTGTTATTGTGAGGAAACTTGGGTGTCTACAGGCAAAATGGTGACCTTGCCTTATATTTGCCATATTGTACCGATGCTTCTCTTGTCTGTGGGATTAGCTGGCCAAACACTGGTAGCTTTTTATACACCAATGTTCACATGAAAAATCTCGTCAGAACATTTGATAATGCCATCAGGCTTTATGAATGCTGTTTGAAATTTGGTTTGGTTTTAACATTTAATTTCGGAATGAATGGTGTTTCTCGAATGAAAACCGCTTTATCATTTCATTTGTTGACCAAAAAATTTCCATCCTGCTCCTTCCATTTTTTTTTTTTTTTACACTACACTCACTACCGTGGAAATTCAAAGATTCCAAGGAAAACAGTATTTTTTTAAACAAATATCTACTCGTGTATGGCCTACTTTGCATTCAGTATTTACATTTAACAGCCAGATTCAAGAAGTGATACTGTAGTTGTTGGTTGGATAGGAATCAACCTCTTGAGTATGCAAAGCAGCATTGTGAACTGAATGTAGTTAAGGAAACCGCTGCTTTAAATGTAGTATCTAGAAGGTTCACAAGTCTCAGTTTACTGAAAAGTTTGATCTATGGTCCTTTTAACATGATATATCTTTAAGTTGTATATGTTCCCTTTTCTAACAGCTGATGTGTGAACTGGGGAATGATGTTATCAATAGTATATATGAAGCACGAGTGGACAAAATAGGTGTCAAAAAGCCCCAGAATGGATGTCAGAGGTATGTGTCTTTTGTGTGTTATTTCATGCTTTAAAACAAAATAGAATTTATTTGTATTGAAAATATAGTATCATGTATCATTGTTCATCTTTAAGGAAAACTTTAATGTTTTTATGTTTCTAAACTCCCGTTTATATCTCTTTTATTTACTATTTAACCTCATACAGACTTCATTGCTGGAAACAGCTGTATGCAGTTTGGAATGAATGTCTCCTATAATAAGCTTTATCAGTGCTGTAAACTAGTGGTCCTGGATGCACAATTGGCCCAGGGCATAAAGGAATAATTTGTATGGCTGCACCTACCATTGTAAAATGTGGATTAAACCCTTTGTCAGGATTCGTAATTGAATAACTAGCATCTTTACACTCATTCCATCACCCACATATCTGTGGTAACAAGAGTCCAAGCCTAGTAGACCTGGCACTGAACATGTACTACCAAATCTATTAACTGTATCTAAACGCGAATAGTGAACTTCCCTATTGCTCTTTTTGTTCCATTTTGCTCGTTTAATTATACAATTGAAAGGATTTTGTTTCTATGTTATGATTCCATATCAGTTAGCCTTTATTTGATGCAGAAAAAAGCGTAGGGGGAAGGTTTAACTAGTTTAACAATAGAAAACAGGGCAGGGCTAACACCACTCAAAGTCTTGCGTGTTGTCAGCCCACAACAAGATTTAGGAGCCAGGTTAATTTCAGGGACATCAACAGGTATTTTTATGTACTTTAAAGTAGATCTAAAGGCAAAACTTGTTTTTTTTTCCTTTTAGGTTGAGTTTTTTTCCTTTTGTAATTGCTGTCTGTGTTTTGCTTTTTTGGGGCAAAAATTTGTACAAAATGAGCGGCGGCTCCCTTGCTCTACATTTAGCCCTGCTTGCCCACAGCAGGGCTAGATGTAGAAAAAAAAACACCTGCCAAGTGCCTGGAACTGCATGTCCCAGGCATCGGGCGATAGGATTCGCGCATCGCTGCACCTATAAAGAGATCTTTAGTGGTTTTTAAATATTTTTGTTTGTAGTGTAATTTATTGTCTGCAGGAATGTTACTACACTGATGCGGTCCTTGTTTTTCTCTTTCATACTATCAGCAAACTTTTCATTCCAGCAGTCACGCTCAACTGCACGGCTCCTGTCATGCGTGTGCCCAAAAAGTGCTCGTGCACTGAATCTAACTTTCATTAAGTTTGACGAGCTAACTGAGATGTGATGCGATTGTTCCATTTCTCACTGCGGTGTGCTTTACTTTTTTGCCGTACTTTTTTATTTTTTATTAAGTGCACACCAGCAGAATGCAGTGTTGTGAACCAAGCCCACCCCTAACAAAGCAAATTGCCTTGTCTTGCATTCAGGCCAGCACAGCCCGAATGCATATGGTGTGAATGAGCCCTAAGTGATAGATTGACAGCTTAGTATCATTCAGTGGAGTCTTGTTGGCTCAGTGTTGATTTTCATGATCTCCTCTGTGTAGGGGATTACTGAACATTATTAATATAAACAGATTTGGGTATCTGTACTAGCTGTATTTTCTTTAATACATTTCCTGATTTTACAGTTATATTGAAAGGCAAACGTCTATTAACTTTCCATGATTATCAAACTGGAAAAATTACTGTAGAAGTCTGTTGCCTGTAATATGGGCTAAATGGTTATTTCACTGTAATATAAGTGAAACGATGGACTGAACTTTCTATTCTGCCCCCTGGTACATACAGGATGACCTTGTAAAAAGACTGATCGAAAAAGCAGGATTGTTTTCCTGCTATTGGGTCATCCAGTTTATCTCCTATTCTTTACCATGCCCTGCACATGCTTTTATGAGATGATTGCCATGTGATTTAACGGATTATAGTCCGGTCAAGATATTTTAGTTTTTTTTAAGTAACATCTTTAGCAAATTATCAAAGAAAGATTGTTTCATTTTTTGAATAACTTGGGGGATCCGGCAGCACATATTTACAATACCGATATTTTTCTGCTAAAAGACAGGAGACAGAAGCATACATCAAAGCGAAGTATGTGGAAAAGAGGTTTGTGGATCATAGTAGCGAATCAACATTAGTAGCAAAAAAGAAAAGCTTATCCGAGAAGAGGAATGACAACCGCCTTTCAGCTGACAAAAGTCCAGGAGCAGAAGAGAACTCCAGAAGCCCCACTAGACTATTAGGTAACTACAAATATTATCTGTGACATTAGTTGAATATTTTCTTGAAAGATGCTTTCAGCACACAATGACTTTGTCAACAGGTACACTTAATTCTGTTACTGAACTTGAATATCTTTGATGACAAATTCTGTGTATGAGAATTACTTCTGGCATACAGCTTATTGTTCAGTAAACACCCCCATTATATTTATATCAGCATTGCTGCTAATACATCACGGTTACACCGTTTAATCTAGCATGGATGGCAGCATTTTAATGATAGGAAGAGCATTAGTGGCTTTGTTTTGCAAAAAAATGAAAAATTGAAAAAACTTCAATGCTGTTGATTGGCTGGATTTTATAACGGCGGTTGAGGTGCTTACACACAGCCTCGAAATCACTGTAGAGAACTCTGGGATCCTTAAAACTCTGGATGCACTGTATGGCAAGTGGCCAACCACTTCACGTACCTTCCTGTTGGCTTGTAAGACCACCCTTCATAGTGATGGACCAATAGCAAGGCATATGAAATGGTAAGGGACAGGCGTTAGCCGACGAGGAAGCCACTCTGTGCTTTGCATTACTGAACACCCTGGGTATAGGGGTCCCAGGTTTTGTTTACAGAGGAATGGAGGTCAGTATAAGTTCCACTTTATCACTCGTTTCCTTCCCACAGGTTTGTTTTAGCCTCCTGCTGATTGTCTGGAGAGACCTATCAACTAGCCCTGTGTCTTTAATGCCAGGAGCTAAGTATATGATTTCTACACAGTAATGCATTCATATAATCACTGGAGAGCACAAACTGCTAGAGATAGACACCACCTGTGTGGATTCAGTTAAACCATGTCTACACACCCATTGTATGTCATTCCAAACATGCAGTAGTGGAAAGCTGAATGTACACCTGCAATTTTTTCAGCCCTAGTCTGCAGATGTGCTTTTTTTGTACTGTAGCTAACTTTATGCGGGCTTTCTTTTCCTAGCAGTTTGTTCTTCAGGCAATCAAATGGTCTTTTAGTCCACAGTCCCTTTCCTGCAGTTATAGTGCAAATACAGACAGGCTGAATGTAAACAATGCAACACTTACACTATCCTGGGTCTCATGACACTTCTTTGGGAAAATGCAGGGAAGGAAATGCAAAGGTGAGAGATTTTATTTGTAAAGTTGCTTGTTGTCTCCTGATAGATCAAAGGAAACTTATACTTGGGTAAATGTGGGGGCTGCCATTACTGATCTCCTGAAAATACTAGTTGCCCATCCGTCTCCATTTTCAGTACTTTCTGAGAAACTGACCTGCAGTGCGCATGCAAATAGGGAAGTCAGAGAGCCAAAAAGTACTGAAGCCATTGGATCAGCATGATGGCAATGGAGCAAGTATTATCTGAAGAGGAGGTAGGCAGTGGCAGCCTACGGACTTCTTCTATACAGGCCTAATTTTAAAAAGTACATTTAGCATTTAATGATTGTTTTTACGGTCTACATAATATCCGAAGCAGTGCTGTTTTTACTATGCAGTGTTCAGTGGATTCATGTAGGAGTAGGGCCAACACTTTGGTTGCCTGTAGTCACACAGCCTCAAAGTACTGAATAGAGGAAACTATAAAGGCCGCGATCAGCCACTAGCTGTCAGCTGCCTTTGGTGAATAAAGTGATTTTAGTTTTTTCATGTCTGAACATATGCCTGTGCTTGCCTGGCTTTTTAATGCACACATATATACTACAAACATAAATCATGCCATTCTTCTCTTTGCGTCTCATTGTATGAAATGAGTGACAGAGTATCACTGTGTAATTATACAAACTACTCGTATTCTCAATGGTTTCTTTCTAGAACTGCCTAGACGCCATATGACATTGCTATTGTGAGATTAGGCTCCTTGTTTTAATGTCATTGTTTAAAGTATAAATATGTGTTTAGATATAGCTTTGGATGCTGCGTGCTATTTTTATGTACAGATTGTTATATTCAAACAAACCCTTGGTACATTCTCCTAGATTTTATTGTAGATGACTGCATGGAGCCAGTATCAGTAAACATAGTGTAATTTTCCATGCTGGTGAATGCGGTGTGCTGCCAGCTGTCTCAGCTTTCTAATTGATAACTTTCTGAAGTGGTATAAAACTTAAGCTGGTGATATACACTGAGTGGCCAGATTATTACCACCCCATCAGTACTTCGTTGGGCCACCTTTTGCCTTCAATACTGCGGCGATTCTTCTTGACATTGACTCCACGAGATGTTGAAAGGTGATGCGAAGAATCTGGCACCATGCCTGATGAATAGCACTGTCCAGTTCTGTGAGATTTGATGGTTGTGGAACCAGCTGCCTGTTGGCTCTTTCAACTTCGTCCCACAAATACTCAATTGGATTGAGATCTGGTGATTGTGGGGGCCACCTAAGCAAGGCAAAGTCTCTCATGTTCTTGAAACCACTCCTGCACAATACGAGCACCGTGGCATGGCGCATTGTCTTGTTGGAAGAAGCCATCTCCATTGGGATACGCCATTAACATGATAGGATGAACTTGATCAGCAACAATACTTTGGTATGTTGTGCTATTCAGACGTTGTTCCACACGAATTAAAGGGCCCAAATCATGCCAGGAAAACATGCCCCAAACCATAACACTGCCCCCACCAGCTTGAAGGGTTGTACTCATGCATGTGGGGTGCATGCTTTCATGCTGTTTCTGCCAAATTCTCACTCTGCCATCTGCATGATGCAACTGGAAACGTGATTCATTAGACCACATGACTTTTTTCCAATGCTCGACTGTCCAATCCTTGTGTTCCTGTGCGAATTGGAGGCTTTTTATCTTGTTAACTGCAGACAGCAAAGATGTTCGAACAGGCCTTCGGCTTCCATATCCCATACAATGCAGTGTATGGTGAATAGTGCGTTCAGAGATCATTTGATAGGATCCCTGATTTAAGATCTGCAGTAATTTGATGCACTGTTGCCCTTCTGTTGTCTTGTACCAGTCTTGCCACTCTACGTTCTGCCCTAACATTGACTATTCGCTGACGGCCACAATTCGCACGTTCAGACCCAGATTTTCGGCTGACAGTCCAGTCTTTAAACACTTTAACAACAGCTGCTCTTGAACATTTAACAAATTCTGCTGTTTTGCTGATACTCGCTCCATGGCTCCAAGCGCCAACAATCATCCCACGTTCAAAGGCTGTTAAATCGCGTTGTTTACCCATATCTTCAGGAAAAAAATCACTATCTCGTCGAAACATTTGGTAACGCTATCAGAGACTTGAACGTAGCTCAAAATTTTATTTGATTCTAACATTTGATTATGTAATTAATTATTATTTTTTTTTTTTGTGGTGTGGCTGAAATCGATTGGTAAATAAACCCCATTGACTATTAGTATTACAAAAGAAGGTTCTGAAAATACTTTTTTTTTAAACAAAATTGTACTGGTGTATGGCCAGCTTAAAGGAGAACTATGAGGTGAGTGAAAATCACTCAACCTCATAGTTCGAGCCGACGTGTGTGACAAAGAAACTGTCACACATTGGCTCAATAGATCGGGAAGTGAGTGAACACACTGTCGCTCGCTCACTTCTCGATCATCTCCCTGCAGAGAGCCATGACTGTCACTCACGGCTCCCTGTGGGGATTCCCCCCTCCCCGTTTCGATCCTTCAGCGCTGACTGGCGGGAACGAACGGGGGAGGGGGCGGGTACAGCTAGCTCTCGACAGGGATCCGTACCGGTTGCGGAGGTCTCAATATACCGTGAGCTGTACGATATACTGAGCTTTGGGACACGGGAGGACATATACTAGCTGGAAAAACACTTACCCCATAGTTAGGGCTTGAAATCCGCTCGTCTGTGACGAGAGGACGGCAGAACCCGACCATCAGCTTCCCGACCGGCCGTGTAATTACAGTCTTACATTCAGTCTTTACATTCAAGCGATCGAGCGTCTCGAGACGCCCGATCGCTTGTACTCCCAGCAGCTGTCACTGCTGTTGCCAGTCCCGAGATCCGCTGTGCCCGATGCGGCCGGGACCGGCACGGCTCTATGACAGGAGATCAAAGGGAGATCAGTACACAATCTCCCTTTTGATATATTCTCCAGTCCCAGAATGCAGGAAGTGATGTATATTACATCACTTCCTGCATTCAGTGTAACTTTCCAGCTACAGAAGCTGATGAAGCCGATCTCTGCTTCATCAGCTTCTCTGGGGGTCCCTAGGTGACATTAGGGGTCTTGGAGACCCCTGATGTCTTCATAAAGAGGACCTGTCATGTAAATTGGCTATCACATAGGGGGCTTCTTAGCCCCCCATGTGATAGCAATAAAGTTGTGTAAAAAGTAATACAACAATTAAAGAAGCATTAAAAAAGAATTTTTTTTTTTTAAAGTCCTCTGCCCCCCCACCCACACATGTGTCGGGTGCGACTATGTACGAAAACAACGATTGTGCCTATTGTGCCGCACATGTTAAATATAACCGCGAACATCGGAGTGTGAGCAATAATTTTAGGGCCATTAATTACTAATAACACTAAACTGATGAGCGGTAAAAGCGTTTTAAGGCCAATTTTCAGTGTGGTTGTTTTTTTGCGACTTTTTTTATATACCACCAAAAGAAACCTCTATCTGTCCCCCAAAAATGTTAACAAATTGCAAGGCTATAGTCCGGTCATGCTGACTGGTGACATTTTTGACTGACTGGTGAGACACCCTAACATTTTTCAAGCCTTGCCCATAGTTCTCCTTTAACTGATATCTTCAATGTAGATCCGTATACTGTATATTGCAACATAATTGGCTATGTTGCTGCCTACTAAAAACTGGCAATTTATTATTGCTGGAGTGTTTTATATTATCAATGTGACTCTTTACACCTATGACACACTGACAAAATATTGTTCAAGTGTTCAGGATATTTTTACTTATTTCCTAAAAACAAATATCGATCACAAGTTTTTATCTAAGGCTCCATTCAAATGCAGCTGCGGATTCCTGCAGGAAAAACCTGCAGATTCTTGCGGCTGGAATCCCAGATGTGTCTATATAGATGCAGCTGTGCCTGTTCATGTTGACAGGCTGACAGCAACTGCATCTGTCATTCATGGAATGATTGCCTTCAATTTGGGATAGATTATTGTGTCTGGATGCAGACAGATTGTATACAGGGACAATCATCTATACCTAATTGCAGGTAATTGTTCCTTGACTACCGCTGACAGATGTGGCTGCCGCCACCCTGTCATTCACATGAATGGGCACAGAGGCCAGCTGTATGGACATGCCAGGGATCCCCAGCCGCCCTGTGTGTATGTAGCCTAACTGGAGGTTTTACCATATAAAAAAAACTGTGTGTTTTCGGCACACAACGGGTGTTGCTCAAAACAATTATAATATTCAAAGTAAGGGTAGAAGAAAGGGTAAAAAAGCAGGAGTTAGCCCTCATTCACACGAGAAACAGTCGGCCTGTACATATCCTTCCCGTATCGGGCCCGGGAAGGATAGGTGCTGTGTGTGATTACACACAGCAGCCTGTTCTTCTCTATGGGGGGACGCGGCTGTACGCCGCCCTACGCTCACCCGAACTGCACGTCCGTGCGGGTGTCCGTACTTGTACGCTGACGAGATGGATCCTGCCTGCGTCTGAGCAGGGACACGCGCACCCGCACGGAAGAGGTGATTATTTGATTATCTGTGATGACCAAACCAGTTAGGGAGTGATAGTGGTGTGTGCTGTGCTCCATGACTGACAGGACCGGGGAGGGAGAAATAATGGTGGGTGCTGTGTTCCATAACTGATAGGATTTGGTGGAGAGAAGTGATGGTAGGTGCTGTGCTCCATGTGTGACAGGACCAGGAAGGGAGAACTAATAGTGGGTACTGTGCCCCCAGACTGACAAAACTGAACAGAGAGAAGTAATGGTGGGTGCTGCGTTTAATGACAGCACTGGCAAAACTACCATGGTTGCAGCGGTCGCATGTGCGACCGGGCCCTGGTATTCTGCTGTTCTATCAAGATTGTGACTGGGTTGGAATGTGTTACCGGTCACTTAGTCACACATTTTAACGTAATCACGCCCACTTTTTCGGTGGTGGAATATGTGACCCGCAAAAGGTGAAGAATTCCACGCTTTCTCAGCTGTTCCAGGGCAGATCGGCATCACAGATTGTATGTGCAGGAGAACCGATCTGCCCTGAAACAGCTAATCGGTCCTGAAATGTCACTTCTATCTGACTTTGTGGAATGTGGGATCGCAGTCACAAAGTCGTATAGAAGTGACATTTCAGGACCGATTAGCTGTTCCAGGGCAGATCTGTTCTCCTGCACATACGATGTGCGATGTCGATCTGCCCTGGAGCAGCTGAGAAAGTATTGGAATTCTTCACCTTTTGCCTGGTCACATATGCCACCGCCGAAAAACTGGGCGGGATCACGTTAAAATGTGTGACCGGTCACACATACCACCGCCGAAAAACTGGGCAGGATTACGTTAAAATGTGTGACCACGTCACCGGTCACACATTCTAACGCAGTCACAAACTTTGATAGAACACTGCCACTTGGGGGGGCGGAAAGGAAGAAGAGGGCGTGGTCCTCTTAACCTCCAAGGCACGGGCTTTTTGTGCTTTCTTGCACCAGGGTCCTGTGGTTTCTAGTTACACCTTTGCCCAGAAGGCTCTGTAAATCTCAGTGCTTGAGCAGTAGCCTTTATGTTCTAAGCTGTGTATACATGAATCGCACAAATCATCCCCCAGAGCTGCCATAAAGTTACAAGGTAAAATCTGAGGGATCACTGAGAGTGGAGACCGAAGAAATGCTTCCTCCTGCTTGCAGCAGACTACAGATTTTTCCTAGCCTGGCCCTGGCACACACTTGGTAGAGGCTGAACTGCTTTTTATAACTAAAAGTACCAAAAGAGTGAAGTGTTACTGTATTGTAGTAACATGCAAGGATTTTATTTCTGCAGGCTCGCAGTTACAGATCAGTACACATGCATCTAGACATATATATTTTTTTTACTGTATGTCTATTATGTTATCATCAAGATCATTGAATAGTGTACGCTGACAGGTGCAAACCTGAACTTGTAAACAGGGTGTGGAGTACTGAAATGTGAACTATATATTTGTACAAGAGCGAATACTTTCTCTTACAAACGTTCTTTAGGTAAAACAGTCAATATGTGCTAAACATGCTGGACAGTAAATGCTCTGCAAAGCCTATTGTGTACATACCATCCAAGTTCTCGAATCTATCACAATCCATGTAATTTAAACAGACCCTGTTGCCAGACCTATTTATTTCAACAATAATCTTCCCATAGGATTATATGCATGTTTAACTTTTTTATGCATATTATTTTCCTGTGTAGACATCAAAAAGCTTTGCTGGGTGATGTCACCAGCCCCAGTGACTCTCACTATAGTATTTCCCTCGGCTCCTCCCCTAGCAGCTACATATAAAGTTATGTAGGGAGGTAAGCGGAGGAGTAGAGGAGCTAGGCCAGCACAGAAAGTAATTGGGCACTATCAGAAGAGAAAAGGTCTATAACATGCAAGGAGGGAGGCAGCTGTGCTAGGAAATCTGACTGTTTCTGAACATGATGTGTTTCGTCATGTGACTTCTTCAAAAGGGGTGGGGGTGTCTTTATTTTGTGAACCACTGTAAACAGAGTGCTATGACTGTTAGCTGTGCATTTATTCAATTTATAATGTACGTTGTAGTACAAGTTCCTCAGTACATTCTGTATATTTTGATTTTGCTAGTGGAAAGCAATGACAGCGGAATTCAATTAAGCTCACAGGGTAGTCGGGAGCTTCTGGCATCCACTGTGTCTTCCAACAGTTTGTATGATGCAGGTTAGTGTCTTTTACTAACAGAAGAGGTTTGAAGGGATACAATCATTTTACACATGACGCCTGCTGAACTATCATACTTTATCAGTATTCTATATTGGCTGTGTGACTAGAGTGTAACTCTTTGCTGTGGCTGCCCTAACTCAATAGTTATAGGTAAAAACATGGAGCCAGGTAACCAATGCATGTAAAACATTTAATATAGTACTTGAACCATTTGGTTTTGTCAGGAAAAACACGTTTCTTGACTACATATTCACTGACTGGCTCGTGAATGTAACATTCATTTCTCTACCTATAATAAACCTTTTCAATCCAACTATATTTTAAATGTATGACCGGAGATCACATCATTTTCTTTTATTTTCTCAAATCCTTTTATTTTTACTATTTTTTTCATGACCAAAACAATGAAATTCAATAGAATATGTTTTGCCCTATTCCAGATCTTGAACGGAAAGATGAAAACCAGGATTGTGCAGCATTTCAAGAGTCTGACACTAAAAAGCTTCCTCAAGGGCTGCAGTTGTACCAAGCTGCCTATAAGCAAAACCTTCCTGCGATGTCTGAGGCCTTGGCTCACGGAGCAGAAGTCAACTGGGTGAACACCAAAGAAAACAACTCTACACCACTAATACAAGCAGTGCATGGGGTATGAATTGATCGTTCACGAGTTACCTAAGGTTGCATTCACACCAAAATCGGAATTAAATCACAAGTCAATGGAAGGATCCATTGACTTGCAATTGAACCTTCCGATTTCCTTCTGATTGGTTGCAATGCGAACCATTTTTCAACGGATGCTAACTGGACGGCACAAAAAAACGAATGGGTGTGAATGGGGCTAGTTCACATCGGATCCGCTGCGTTACTTTGATCAGAAAAAAAGCAGCGTAGGCCTCTTTTTTTAGCACAACATTTATCCGTGCCCTTCCGGTAGCATCCATTAAAAAACGTATCGCAACACAACAGATCCGGTTTGCATGGGCCCTAAATGTGCATGCAGGTGGGATTGGTCATTGCCTATCCATTGTTGTCTGGTAACATGGAGTGCTGTAACTTATAGAATGTCAGTAACCATCGAGCCAAAGCTTTCCTGTCTCTGGGTTAACTGGTTGAAATTGCTTTGTAGGACTTCGGCACACTGTATCTCCATCAATGGAAGCAATTATGGGCATATTTCTAAAGCAATGAAAATGACTTTCACCAAACATTATAGCACATGTGCTCATGGCTTGTTTACCACATCAAAAATTAGACAGAATGAAGTATTTTTAGTGAAATGTCAAAATTGTCCACTTTTAAGTATGCGTCTGTAAAATGTTCTCCATTCTTTTTGCTCTGTGAGGGTGAGGTCTACTTTTACGATAACTAGAGTTTAAGATGAGGCCTATTTCAGTGCTCACTATTCCTAAATTTCAAATCTAAACTCGCAGGTGAACATAATGCAATTATGTATTGAAATAAAATACATTCAGCGGTTCATTTATTCGCACAGCGCTAATGCCCCTACATCAGAAGTAGCAAACCTCTGGCCCTCCAGTTGTGGTGGAACTACAAATCCCATGAGGCATTGCAAGATTCTCACAGCCACAGACACGACTCCCGAAGAGAGATGCATCATGGGATGTGTAGTTTCACCACAGCTGGCTTCACCATAGGGCCATCTAGGGGAGCTAGTGTTGTGCAAACTGAATTTGCCCGGCTTAACTTGTAGAAATGAATCCCTAACTGCACTCTTAAACGAGCTAAAGGAAGTATTGTCCTTTTATTGTCCATTTGGGGAGGGAGCCCTTGACTGAGATGTACTGCTTGATTGCATAGTCAGGCAGGCACCTGACTGGCAACGGTGGTGACTCCGTCAGAGGGAGTGACGCCAGTTAAGTGTGCGTAGCGCCATTACGCACGCACGTGCGTGATGATGTCCAGGTGGGTGACACCCGGCCACCGCTCAAGGGGACACCCTGCCTGGGAATGCCTCTGTGTGCAGGCGATATATTTCAGTTTAGCTGCTTGCCTGGAGGTAAGCTTTTAACTTAAATCCAGACAAACAGCTAAATACCCAGTTGGAATATACATCTGTAGTCTGCCTTATCTACTAATGGATTTGTAATTCAGTGCAAGCAGTTTTGTTATTTATACACCTCTGTCATGCAGCAGAGCCGGGAGGGTGACACCAGAGCAGCAAAATACCCTGATAAGTTTTCACTTTTGCTCACTCTGTGCACTTCTTTTGTGAGCATGTTCTTTCATCCAGGGGTGTGGAAATTTGGGAAAAAACTACTAAAGCGGTGGCTGAATCTACTTGTCCCTGATGACAATCTACTTGTCCTGATACAAAAAAAATAATTTTAACCAAAACCGTATTTAGCAGCGCTAAGAAGCGCTTCTCATTGGTCAGTGCCGTCAGGTGACCGCGTTGACCAACGAGTGCTTGCTATTTGTGAGCGAAATTCAGAATACATGGAACAGGTACAGATAGTACACCCGTACTGGTGGACGGGAAGGACCGGTCGACGAAAGGTAAGTATAGTGGGAGGGAGATTTGTGCGGGTAATTCCATTTTCCCAAATTACTTGGGAAAGTGAATTTACCCTTTTAGGGCTGGTGCAGACTTGGGGATTCCCAGGATGTGCTATCGTGTGCGGTTGCATACAGCGGTTGCATCCGCATGTATGGGGTTACATCTGCGTGGCAATCGCTGAAAAAAAGGTAGATGTACCTATTTTCACGACGTGGACCGCACAGTGTTTTCAACCGTGATCGCCCGGGCTGTATTGCAGCAGGTAAACGCGCAATATGCCTGGCACGACTCGGGTACCATTAGAAAATAATGGCACTGACAGCACCATCGGCGATGGTGTGAGATTCCGTCACCGTGGCCACCCAGCCATCTGCTCTATTTCGTGCACGGTGACCACGGTCACGGATCGCACACCACTGCCGATTGTGCTGTCAGTGCCATTATTTTCTAATGGCACCACAGTCTTGCCAGGCAGATTGAGCGTTTTCCTGCGGCAATACAGCCCTGCCCGTGCGGTTGCACACGATCGCAGTTGAAAACACTGCGCGTTTATGTGCGTGCAGATGGGGGCAGCGCGGCTGGTTTTAATTTTTTCAATTTTATTTACTTTGGAAAACATTTTCATTTGTTTTATTATTTTTACGTTATCGCCTTTTTATTTTTTACATTTTTATTTAGTTACGTTTTTTATATTTTTTACTTCTTTTTTTAATTATTTTTTAAACTTCACTGTATTGCTATTACACAGAGGTTAACAAATCCCCTGTGTGATAGCATTTGGAGGTGACAGGTACACTTTATTCAACCTGTCACCTCCAACACAGGAGTTCTAGCAGGCACTGTTGCTAGAACTCCTGTGTGACAGGAATGAGCAGCAGCTGCTGAGGACAGAGGCTGAGGGAGGTGACAGAGCCTGTCACTACTCCACGCCCCCCGCTCTGTCCCCGCCCCCTGCTCTCGGCTCTCCACGCTCTGTCCCCGCTCTGAGCGCTCCACGCTCCGTCCCCACCCCCCGCTCTCGGCGCCCTCCTCCCCCCGTTCACAGCGGCGCTCTCTGCGCTCATTTAAGAAAATATAAACCAGCAGGGCTAAAACAGTGTAAAAAGCACTTGCCCGGCGCCCGGAACTACATGTCGGGCAATACGAATTCCACACCCCTGTCATCAGCACATGTGTATGCAACAGAGTCTAATAAACTTCTATTGCTTCCTCTTCCAGTCTGAATACTGCTGTAAGGCAACTCATGTGCATTTGATTATGATTATTCATATATTTTTTTTTCTTACCTCTTTACAGGGATCTCTAATAACCTGTGAGTTTTTATTGCAAAATGGAGCCAATGTAAATCACCGTGACGCAAAAGGAAGAGGGCCGTTACATCATGCAACAGTACTAGGCCATACAGGGTAATAGCAGGATGTTTCATTTTCTATGAGACGTTAAAATGGCTAAACTGTTTGTGAATTATGATACACAATTCTCCTATTTTACAGATTTTCATTTCATTTTCTAACCTACATCAAAAACACATGTGGCATCAGAATGAAGCAGTGTCTATATTTCCCTTCACTTTTTATGAATAAAGCACAGACAGCACAGTGACGTTGTGGTTAGCACTTCTGCCCTGCAGCACTGGGGGTCCCCTGTTCAGATCCCATTTAACACACTATCTGCAAGGAGTTTGCATGTGCTTGTGTGGATTTCTTCTGGGTAGTCCGGTTTCCTCCCACACTTCAAAGACATTCTGGAAGGTTAATTGGCATCGGTCTAAATCGGCCCTGTATGCATGTGCAATAGGGACCTTAGATTGTAAGCTTCTTGAGGGCAGGGGCTGATGTTAATGTGCAACTTTGTAAAGCACTGTGTAAAATCTTGGTGCTATATAAATACCTACAATAAATACAAAAATAAATTAGATTTGCTGTGGCATAACTAGGCCTTGCAATCTTTACATTTAAATACCATGGTGAGGTTTTATGGATGATCTTTAAACACTATCTTATATATTTTTTTCAGATCCAAATGCTTAATAGAGTTTCCACTAATTGTTTGTTCCTCTGCAGGCAAGTGTGTTTATTTCTGAAAAGGGGAGCCAACCAGCATGCTACTGATGAAGATGGCAAAGACCCATTAAGTATTGCTATAGAGGCCGCCAATGCTGATATAGTGACTCTGTACGTATTAGTTATGAACTTATCATATGGTTTTTTTTATGTGATGTACGAGCCTGTGACGTATTTAAGATATGTATGGTCTAGATAAACTTAATTGTGTTGTGTAAGGTGAACATGTGGTTTGCCCATGCAGAAAAAAGCAGCAGGCTTAATTAACTGCCCCCCATCCCGTTGCACAGACTCACCTTCACTTTTGCTTTCCAGTCTTTGTGTTCAGCAGCCAGAAATATAGAGAAACACCTATTAGTTAAGCGTATGTGACGCATGTGACTTGATTCTCTTCCTGCCACATGACAGTGCTGGCGCTTGGCTTCTCAGGCACCCAGCAAGGAGACATTGGGGCAGAGAGAGACTCTTCAGCAGTGTGTAATCTCCAGGATGGAGCCTATGCATGGCTTCTTCTTCTTTGCTTCTGGTGGCTTAACAGCAGTGAGAGAGCAAAGGAAAGGTAAGTGTGCTGGGATTGGGGCAGTAAAGGAACCTATTGTCTTGCCATGCATGGTCAGAGCACAGGTTTCCTTTAAAGGCAAGATTACCAAATGACTTTAGAGCCAGCTCAGACATTGCACATACCTTTTAAACAAATATTGCCATTGCTGAGTAATTTGTTTTTTTTGGTACTTTTCATTTAATTCTCCAGAACTTTTGCATAAAATGTTCTAAAAGCTGTTAACACTGTTGTTTACCTGAGGACTGGAGATTGCACTTGGAGTGAATGATTATCTCACAGTAACATTAAACATTGGCAGACACAGTGGAAATAACTTTGTCTGGTTAATGAACTGCTGCATGCCTGTGCACTGTTTTCTTGGTGATAGGCTCCCTTTAAAGGATCTGACTCTTTTTAGGGTATATTGAAGAATATTAATGTTGTGCTTAAATGGTTCCAGGGCAACTCCAATAAAAAAATATATCAGTTTTATTAAATCCTCATTAAAACAATAAAATTCATAACCATTTGGCAGTTTACGGAAATGTGTGCCCTGCCTCATCAGCAACTGTTGCACGTGTCCCATTGCACCCCTGATCGGTAGCTCCCTGTGTTCGTGGTGGGTGCTACAGTATCGACGACAAATCGTTCAAGCAATATAAAGAAGAATCACCGGCACACCTACTGTGATATACCATCAAACATATTACAAACCAAAGGGTCCCTTCATCAATGTGATCACATTGTTTACCTGATGAAGGGACCTTTTGTGGCCCAGAAACATTTGTATGCTTTGTGATATGTTTGACTTGCATCAAAAAAAAGATGATGTTATATAACACTAGGTGTGCCTCTTCTATACACTGCTTCATTAAGCGACCCTCAGAAAAATTAAAGTAATAAACTTGTTCTTTGTAGTCCAGTAATGCCACAAATGAGACCCAGTACCCCTTACTACAGCAGAAGCAAGTGATCCAAGTGAAGACATGATCCCATCACAGCCACCCAGCCATGTGTTTAGCTCAGTAGTAGAATATGATCAAGTAACCTATTAGTTCTTTTTTTCTTGTAAGAAAGTATAATCATCCAACTGTCATTATAGATTAGATTATAGATTATAGTTCTTTTTTTCTTGTAAGAAAGTATAATCATCCAAATGCCATTATAGATTACTATCCGATTGTCCTAAAATGGCTTTGATAGGGATTATAATGTTCAGGCTGGTATCAGTACAAAGGATGGTACTATGGTTTGGCCAACTTTGTGCTCCAGATGCAACCATGATCAGGACCCTATTGGGCCAATACCTCAAATGAGCTTTTATCATTGCAAACTGTGTGGATGATCAGACATCCTTTGGAGTGATACAAACTTGAACATTATAGTCTCTACACTGAGTGGCCAGATTATTATGACCACCCCATCAGTACTTCGTTGGGCCACCTTTTGCCTTCAATACTGCGGCGATTCTTCTTGGCATTGACTTCACGAGATGTTGAAAGGTGATGCGAGGAATCTGACACCATGCCTGATGAATAGCACTGTCCAGTTCTGTGAGATTTGATGGTTGTGGAACCATCTGCCTGATGGCTCTTTCAACTTTGTCCCACAAATGCTCAATTGGATTGGGATCTGGTGATTGTGGGGGCCACCTAAGCAAGGTAAAGTCTCCCTAATGTACTTGAAACCACTCCCGCACAATACGAGCACCGTGGCATGGCGCATTGTCTTGTTGCAAGAAGCCATCTCCATTGGGATATGCCATCAACATGATAGGATGAACTTGATCAGCAACGATACTTTGGTATGTTGTGCTATTCAGACGTTGTTCCACACGAATTAAAGGTGAACTATGAGGTGAGTGCTTTTCACTCACCTCATAGTTCTAGCCGACCTGTGACAATGTGACTGTCGCAGGTCGGCTTAGTAGATTGGGAAGTGAGCGAACACATACCGGCGTTCGCTCACCTCTTGATCCTGCCAAGGCTCTCTGCCGTGGCAGGGGAGGGGCTGGATTCCCCCCTCCCCGCTCCGATTCGCCAGCGCTGACTTTAACAACAGCTGCTCTTGAACATAAAATAATTCTGCTGTTTTGCTGATACTCGCTTCATGGCTCCGAGTGCCAACAATCATCCCACCTTCAAAGGCTGTTAAATCGGGTTGTTTACCCAATCTTCAGAAAAAAATCACTTCTACTGTCGTGGTAAACAACCTGCTTCCCTATTTATAATGGTCTGGCCCTCTAGCAACTTCAGCGCAAAATTATAGCTAATTTGCCTACAAACGTCAGGTGGTCATAATAATCTGGCCACTCAGTGTATATTCTCTCCACTCACTTATTCAATATTAAAAATAATGAAGTCAGCCTGTTTAGCAATTGTCATAGAAGAGGTTTGATACGAAATAATGTTAGTTGGAATGAATCTGCTCTTTGAGTCCGATTCTGCCAGAAATACCCATAAAACACATTTCAGGCTTACACCCAACTTGTTGTCTGCTCTATACCTTTAGTACGAAGACTAAAAAGCTCATTGTTTGGACTCTCCGGCAACTTGACAGATGAATACATATCTTTAAAACAATTTAATTTCTCTTTTTAGATTGCGCTTGGCACGTATGAATGAAGAGATGCGGGAATCTGAAGGACTTTACGGACAACCAGGTCAATACTCCTCTAACAGCCATACAGAAATGCAATATAGGAAATGCATGCAAGAATTTATTAGCTTGCAGCTTGGACATCCTGAGTGTTTAGACAGGAAGGCAAACCGCAAATCATCCAATTAATATGTTATGTGTAGACACTCCTGTGGCATTTTGGAAGAGATGTACTGCTGTATTATTTTTATAATGTGTGTAGGTTTGTGTGTATATATATATATATATATTTTATTAATTGAAACATTTCATGTTGCCCATAGCAACCGATTTTTTCCTTTCTTTAGTTTTTTAACCTGCACTTAAGTCTTTGTCTGCAGTTTACTAGTTAAAGGTAGTTGTTGTCTTCCTATGCTGCATATGGGAAAGAAGATGGCTATGCATGCCCATTGCCAACAAGTTTTATGTAGAGTAATTGGAATACAGGGTTCGAATATTCAACAGGATTGTGTGTGTGTGTATATAGGGATATGTGCATAGGTATACTCGTGGTATATATGTGTGCGCCTTTATCCCATAATACCAAAAGACTTCAACTTTCAAGGTTGCTTATCTTTATTCCTATGTACAATAAAAAAGCAATACATCTTACCCCTCTGCCTAACAAAAAAAAAAAAACATCTGCACCCAACAGCTGTGAAAGTTCTCCAGAACTCTCCTCTCATCCTCTCCATCCTTCTGATAAAAATCAGGCCATTTAGCTTCTTTTTCCCACAGCTGACTACACCTATAGCCAATATAATTTCCTCTAATCTGAGACTACTTGAGACAGACCGCCCCCTTTGCCCTATAGTAGATAGAATTCAGTAGGGCCCCTTGCTGCCTGGACGGATGACACTTACAGCCCCCCCCCCCCCCCCCCCCCCGCCCTCCTCTGAGCAATCCCCAC